CTCTGCGCGGATGAGGAAAGAGGTTGTAAGAGGAGGAGGAGGAGGAGGAGGAGGAAGAGGAGGAGGAGAAGGTGACGGGGAAGGAGGGGGAAAGAGCGATTGGGAGGGAGGAGAAACAAGGGAGAAGTGGAAAGAGAGGCAGTGAGGAGAGAATAAGGAAGGAGGGGTGGAGGGGGACGAAGGGGAGGAGGGCGAGGAGGGGGAGGGGGAGGAGGGGGGTGAGGGCGGAGGAAGCAAAAATGCACGATATCGTAAGAAAGCGCCCTGGTCTCGAGCCGTAAAGGTGTACAGCATTGGATCCCACAAGTAGTGTTGGAGCTCGAACACCATCGGGCCAAACTACAACGACTCCAGCGGTAAGACCCCGCATGAGAATATGTTTAGTTTCCCTTTAGCCCTTTCCTCCTCTTCCTGGCGGACACTCTCCTCTCGCCCTCTGATGTGCCCTCTCTTCCTCCCTCTACTTATACTCCTCCTACTCCTCCTCCTCCTCCACCACATCTCCTGATCATCGCCCTCCCCCGCGCTCCTTCCCCCCTCCTCATCCTCCGCCTGCATCTTCTCCATGCGCGCCTTCCCGCCCAACTAGGCGGCGCAAGCAAATCGATGTTCCTCGGCGCCCTCGCCGCCTGGGCAATCGCGCGCGCGTTTGCCGACGGCTAGATCGCGAAGCCGTCGGGGCAACCCTTCGGGCCAGGCCGCTGGGACAACCCCGCGAGCCGCTGGGGCGCGAGAGCAAGCCGCTGGGACAACCCCGCAGGCACCGAGCCAATCGAGCCCGCGCCCAGGCGGAAGGCAGCACGAAGCCCAGCTCTGCCGCGAGCTGCTCCGCCTCAGCCCTGGGGCCCACTGCTCTTTGGTCGATTTCCTCGAGCGCCTTCCGCGGGGGCGCCGGCGGCCCGCGCCCCGGGAAGTCTCGCGCGGGCGGCCGCGAGATCAGCATGTTCCGCGCGCGCGTGGCGCGGGAGCACATGACGCAGAGGTGCAGCCACCACTGCTCGTCCGACATTCCCGCGCGACCAGCGCCCTCACCCCTGGCGCAGTCGACGGCGACGCCCGCGCGCAGCGTCTGTCCCTGCGACAGCGCGGAGGTCAGGCAGGACGCGCGCGCCAGGGTGAACCCCGAGCGGCGCACAACTTGCGGCCCCGAGCTCTGCCACGTGAACTCCTGCTCGATGGGCCTGAACACGCGCAAGCTCCTCGCCCGCGCCTCGGCCGCGCCGTCGTCGTCAGCGCCCTCGGCGCCCTGCAGCAGCACCTCGGCGACCTCCTTGTAGATCGGGGACTCCTCGAAGCCGTGGACCTGCATCCAGATTCCCTGCGGTAGGTAGCGGGGGCGAAAGAGCTGGCCGGGCGCGCGCTCCTCGTAGTCTCGCTCGTCGTCTGCGTGAAACACGAAGGACGCGACGGTGGCCCGCTGCTCGTGCGCGAGCCCCAACTTCTTCTTCAGCTCCTCCTGCGCGACCATGAACCGAACCTCCATGCCGACGTGTGCCGGTGAGACGCCGTGGATGTCCCCCGTCTTGTGCATGTTCGGGACGTTCAGGAGGTCGCCTTGAATCGCGCCGCACTCGTCTACGCCCTGCAGGAAATCGAGGGGCGCGCCCAGACGCCGCGCGCCACGACGAGCACGCGCGTTGATCCACCTCGCGAACGTCTCCCAGTAGATGCCCATACCAAAGCCGAGCCGAAAGTTCTCGCGCCGGCGCCGGGGGCCCAGGACGCCGCGGTTGTCCGAGGCCAACGTCTTCTCCCAGGCAGACCAGACCTCTGGCGGGAAGCGCTTGCCCTCGCGCAAGCAGCCCAAGAACGCGATCAGAGGGCCCCCGGGCTCGAAGCGCTTCGTGCCCTTCAGCTCGAAGACGCGGGGGATGCGAGAGAAGACGCCGATGGCGCGCTGAATCTCCACCGTCGGCGGCTCCGCGTAGTTGTAGGACCCGTCACCCTGGCGCTCGTTCGCGTCCGCCAGGAGCCCAATGCTGCCCACGGGCTTCAGCTGTGAGAAATCGCCAAGGCACAGCGCGATGGGGGCGCGCCCGGAGTGGTGCCGCGGCCTCCTGTAGGTGGACTCCTGCACGTCGCGTGCGTCACTGCGCCCGTGGCAGGCGCGGAAATCCAGCGCGTTGTACAGAGCAGCCGCCACCATGCTCACCTCCTCGATGACCAGAACGCGGACGTGCTCCCACAACCACTTCAGCCCCTTCTGCATGCCCCCCGGCCTCATCTTCGCGTCGATGCACGTCTGGACTCGCAGGGCGCAGGCGTCATGCAGCGTTCTGGCCTTCGCAGTCTCCGCGGAAATGTTCTTCGCCCGCGCGTTCGAGAAGGCCGCGACCATCGCGGCGCCCTTGTCCTGCGCCGACGAGGGCCACAAATACTCCGCCACTGGGAAAACAACCATCTGCACCACGTGCGTCTTCCCCGAGCCGCCCTGGCCCAGCAGGAGCAAGCGCGTCACTTTTCTCTCGCCCCAGGGCTTCTTCTGCACGTCGTCCTCCCAGGCGTCGTCGCAGGCCTTCGCGAACTTGGCGACGAAGAGCGTCTGGCCCCGCGCGGGTCTCTCGTTCTCCGGCAACCCAGCGACCAGGGCGACCGCTGGGAGTTGAGCGCTCGCCGCGGGCAAAACTGGCCGCAGCGGGGTCGCCGCCCAGGCCGCCAGCGCCCTCCCCCTCGCCGTCGCGAGCGCCCGCGTCATCCTCGTCGCGATTCCCCTGGAGGCGGTCGTCACGCAGGTTTGCCCAGGCGTGTCTCTCCTCGCGCGCTGCGGTCACCAGCGGTCGGTATCTGGCCGCGGACGCAGGAGCGGTCGCGGCCTCCGTCAGCTCGGGCGCGCCCGCGACCTCGCGGGCCGCCTCGGACATGCGCGGGAGCGCGAGGAGCTCCTTGGCCAACCTCGTGAGGCGCTTGCGGTGCGCGAACTTCAGCACGTCCGACATGTCCTGCCCCCCGTCGACGCCCCAAGTCGGAACCTGCTGGAAGTGCGCTCGGACCGCCGAGGGGGGGCGCCCGGGCGTTCCACGCCCTCGCCCGCCTCGGCGCCCTCGTCCTGTCCGGCGCCTCCACCCGTGGTAGACTTGAGGTGCGCGCTCTGCACGGCCGCGTCGCTCTGGTACTGCCAGGGTTTCTTCTCCTCGCGTGCCAAGGCGATCCCCTCGAGGTTTGGCGCCACCTGCATGGCCATCATGGAGACGTACTGGTGCACCGTCGCCGGGGGTTTCTCTTTGTCGGGGCAGTGGGCGGGGTCCAGCGAGTCGCCCTCCCCGTCGTCGCCCTCCGCCCGCGCCTGGCGCAGCGCGAAGAATTCCTCCTGCACCTCCTGCGTCTCCCAAGTCGAGGGCCACTCGAGCCGCGCGAAGAAACGGGCCGCGGCGACGCGGGCCCCCCGGTCCGCCTGAGCCTCGTAATGCGCCCAGACTCGCGTGAAACAGGCTAACCCGCGCACATTCATGTCAAGGGGCGCGCGTCTCGCCTGAGACTTCCTCTATACTCGCGCCAGACGAGCCCAAAATTGATGACACTTACAAGTTCTGGATGACCCGCTCGGATTACCAACATGAAATGCGGGCCCCATAGGGAGGGAGCTCCCGCCTGAGACTTCCTCGCAATTCACTCACAGACGGGGCTCCCGCCTGAGACTTCCTCCATACTCAAGCCTGAGGAGCCCAAAAATCACAACAATTGCAAGATTCCATTGACCCGCTCGGATTACCAACATGAAATGCGGGCCCCACAGGGAAAGGGCTCCCGCCTGAGACTTCCTCGCAATTCACTCACAGACGAAGTTCCCGCCTGAGACTTCCTCCATACTCAAGCCTGAGGAGCCCAACAGTGACGCCGGTTACAAATTCTGGATGACCCGTTCGGATTAATAACATGATCTGCGGGCCCCATAGGGAGGGGGCTCCCGCCTGAGACTTCCTCGCAATTCACTCACAAACGGGGCTCCTGCCTGAGACTTCCTCCATACCCAAGCCTGAGGAGCCCGATGACTTACAGGTTTCCGATGACCCGCTCGGATTACCAACCTGAAATGCGGGCCCCATAAGGGCAAGGCTCCCGCCTGAGACTTCTTCGCAATCCAAAAGTGACGACAATTACAAGTTTCCGATGGCCCGTTCGGATTACCAACATGAAATGCGGGCCCCATAGGGATGGGGGTTCCCGCATGAAACTTCCTTGCAACTCACTCACAGACGAGGCTCCCGCCTGAGACTTCCTCCATACTCAAGCCTGAAGGGCCCAAAAAAAACGACAATTACATGTTTCCGATGACCCGCTCGGATTAATAACATGATCTGCGGGGCCCATAGGGACGGGGCTCCCGCCTGACTTCCTCGCAACTCACTCACAGACGAGGCTCCCGCCTGCGAGTTCCTCCATACTGAAGCCTGAGGACCAAAAAGGAACGACAGTTACATGTTTCCGATGACCCGCTCGGATTACCAACATGAAATGCGGACCCATAGGGATGGGGGCTCCCGCCTGAAACTTCCTTGCAGTTAACTCACAGACGAGGCTCCCGCCTGAGACTTCCTCCATACTGAAGACTGAGGAGCCCAAAAACCAAGATAATTACAAGTTTCCATTGACCCGCTCGGATTACCAACATGAAGTGCGGGCCCCACAGGGAAAGGGCTCCCGCCGGAGACTTCCTCGCAATTCACTCACAGACGAGGCTCCCGCCTGAGACTTCCTCCATACTCAAGCCTGAGGAGCCCAAAAATCACAACAATTTCAAGATTCCATTGACCCGCTCGGATTACCAACATGAAGTGCGGGCCCCACAGGGAAAGGGCTCCCGCCTGAGACTTCCTCGCAATTCGCTCACAGACGAGGCTCCCGCCTGAGACTTCCTCCATACTCAAGCCTGAGGAGCCCAAAAGTGACGACGGTTATAAATTCTGGATGGCCCGCTCGGATTGATAACATGATCTGCGGGGCCCGTAGGGAGGGGGCTCCCGCCTGAGACTTCTTCAGTATTCACTCACAGACGAGGCTCC